CCAATATTGTTAAGTTGGAGGGGTAGAAAAATCCAATGTAAGAGAATCCGAGGATAATTTTGCAAATACCATGATTTAAGTGGTATATATATATATATATATATATATATATTCCCTAAACTAAGAAGGCAAATGAGGGAAGCCACTGCTCTCGTGATCTAGGGTTAGCAAAGGGCATAACCAGATTCAAGATAGTGTGTGAGAGAAGAGGGTTTCATAGTTTTTGTCTGTCCAAAATATTGCAAGGTTGGGAGAGAGTTTCACAATTTTTGTTCATTTAAAAGATTGCAATGAGATGATTTTATAAAGAGTGGGATTTGGAGAGAATATCTTAGAACAAATTATTAAATATACTTAAACATAAAAGGGGTTTTTGTGCGCGCGCGCAAAAACCCCTTTTATGTTTAAGTATATTTAATAATTTGTTCTAAGATATTCTCTCCAAATCCCACTATTTATAAAATCATCTCATTGCAATCTTTTAAATGAACAAAAATTGTGAAACTCTCTCCCAACCTTGCAATATTTTGGACAGACAAAAACTATGAAACCCTCTTCTCTCACACACTATCTTGAATCTGGTTATGCCCTTTGCTAACCCTAGATCACGAGAGCAGTGGCTTCCCTCATTTGCCTTCTTAGTTTAGGGAAATCAAAACCATATCTCTAGTCTAATTTCTTAATTGCAATAGGATACAAACTCCTTATTATAATTAGACCCAATCTCCTAATCATGATAGGCCACTAATTCTAACTCTCATTAAGTTGTACAAAGAATCAAATGCACAATCTCAACATACTCTCCTCAGACACGCTATCTTTTATCTAGTTATGCCCTCTGCTAATCCTAAATTACAAGAATAACGGCTCCCCTCCTTTTCCTTCTTAGTTTTCCTTCAATAATGAAAGACTATATATAGGGAAACCAAAACCCTATCTCCAGGTCTAACTTGCTAATTAGAATAGGATACAAACTCCTTATCAGAACCCAATCTCCTAATCATGATAGACCTCTAATTCTATCTAGCTCTCATGAAGATATAGAAAGAATCAAAGACACAATCTCAACATACTTATCACTTAGCTTTCCATATGACCACAATGTCGATTAGTCAACTTGCTGGTGCTGGTTAGGTTATAAATTTCTCACTCACTTCTTATATTTTGTAAGATCCTTGCACAATCGAGAAGATGAGGGTAGGTTGTAGAGTGAATGAACCTCATCATATGGAGTATCTTCACCTATCTCATTCTTTTACTAGCTATAGGCTTTCGACTCTCCACTTTTAATATCTGGCATCACCAATTATGTCATATCTCTGGCTCTACGTTTGACACTCTTGTCTGATTCTAGATTACAAGATCTTTTCATTTTTCTCTGGTATTTAATTGTAGTACTTGTTGTTTTGCAAAAAATACCATGCACTTTATCTTTTTCACCACGAAACCATGTACCCTCTGAATCTTTTTATTTGAAAAACTAACATCTGTCTCACCCGTTATGGTTATAGATATCATGTATGTTTTGTTGATGACTACTCTTATTAAACTTGGATTTATTTGTGCTCGTTTTGATATTGTTCATTTAAACGGAAATCACAAATATCATTATATTCAATTTCAAAAACATTTATAAGTTATGAAATCTGATAATGTTCGTGAATACATTTCCTCAAACATGCAAAATATTCTATATCTAACTATACTCTTGTTCAACAATGCATTGTCATACTCTCGAAGAAAATGGTGTTGCTGAGTGAAATCATCGGTACATTCTTGAAACCACTAGAGCACTCTTAATCTTCACATGACCCCCACACTTTTATTGAGCTGAAGCTCTTATGACTATTTTTCTCCTGTTCAACATCATCGCGTCCTCATTACTAAAAAGACATTTCTCAATGTTCTCGTGTTTACTTTTACTATTTTCTTCCCACATTTGGTTTTGGTTGTTTCATTCTCCAACATTCTCGTGAATAAACATCTTCTCAATCCATGAAATGAATTTGTCTCTGTAGAGTTTTACACACAAAGGTTATTATTACTACAAATCCACCACTCGTCGTCTTTGTAGATTTCAAAATTTTATGTTTCTTGAAAATGTACCATATTTCACCATAGCTTCAAACACAGATTTTTCTTTTCTGGACAACGAAATCAATAAATCAAGTCACCTTCTACATCTTCATTTTCTCCCCTTCTACCTACCCCAATCATTTCCTCTTCTCTAATTCATCCATCTCTGACCGTTCCCTCTTCTCCCATTTCTCCAGATGCTTCTGCCAGTCGACCTTCGTGTCTACCTCCGCATCATGTAATGATACTCCAGCTACTATTGGTTCTTCGCCGCCTAGCTCATCCTGTGCTGATGCTTCTAAGTCACCTCGTCACAATCTTGTACAACATCAACGGCTTCCTGTCCATTACGGTTACCATATGATTGATTCTTATTCTCCACAAATTTGTCTCCTTTCTTGCTGGTATTCATTTTCTCAAGAAGCTAAGTCATATAATGACACTGTAAAGTACTGGAATGAGAACTAGCTATGCATGACTTGAGGCTCTTCACTGTACTCATATTTAGGATTTAGTTCTATTTTGTCCTTGGGTTAAAACTGTCAGCTGAAAATGGATCTACAAGAGTAAAAACTAGGTTTAATGGCTCTATTGAGTGAGACAATGCTTGTCTTGTGATTTGTGAATTTTCACATGAATATCAGTGTTTTCAATGCGCAAAGCGCAATGCGGGGCTCAAAGCATCTTTACGCGCACATGCGCAAGGCGTAACGCGATGCGCGCGCCCGAGTGATGCGAAGCGCACACCACACATATAATATTTCAATATATGTAATCAAGCGCGAAAGAACATGTTTTTCGAATTTACATGAAAAATATCATGATAAATAATATCTTGCTACAAAATCACAATATATTGCCTTAATTTCTAATGCTAACACCCAACATAGTAGCAAATTTTATCAAATTTTAAATCAAATGTTAAATCAAGACTTATATCCAAACTAAGGATTAGTAATGGTCCTCAATTGAAAGTTATTAAAAAAACCCAATGGATTTATTTTGCTTTTTGGGATATGGAATATCAAGTATAAAGACTCGATTGAAATGTTAACAAATAAAACTATATGAGGAGATGTACTACATGCATCCTACACAAAGTACAGATGTACGCGAGGCGCAAAAAGCGCTGCTGCATCAGATGTGAGGCGCTTCGCCACCGCCCCGCATCGTAAGGCGCATGAGGCGCAATGAGGCGCGCGCCTTTGAAAACACTGATGAATATGACATAGATTATGAAGAAACGTTTGAACAAGTTGCTAAGATAACATTGATTCACACTCTTATTGCTGTTGTTGCTGCTCAAAACTGGCCATTATTTTCTGTTTTTGCTGCTAAAACCGTATTTTTTATATGTGATTTTTCAAAAGAAGTTTACATGCAGTATCCTCATTTATTTTCTGCTCCAACTCATGTCTGTCATCTTATGCAAGCTATTTACGGACTCAAGCAAGCCCCCAGGCTTGGTTTGAGTGGTTCCGACAAGTCTCACCGCTCTGTTGGCTTCACAGAGTCTTACTGACAACATCATGTTCCATCGATCTTCATCTCAGGGCTGTGTTCTTTTGCCTTTTTATGTCAGTGATATGATTATCAGAAGTGATTATGCATGAACCATCAACTCCCTAAAATAACAGCTGCAAAATTAGTTTGAGATGAAAGGTCTCGAGTATCTCCATCACTTACTAGGAAGTGGAAGTTGGTTATTCCTCCAGATAATATCTGCTTTCTCAATGAAAGTACATTTTTTATATTCTTCAATGAGTTACACTTACCGACACTATTGTTTCCCATTCTACTCTCATCTCTCCAAGTATTTAGTTGAATCTGAAATTTTGACATGATGATAGTGATCCTTTACAACAACCCACATGTTATTGTGAACTTGTGAGTTTATCTATCTATTACTCATTTGGATGTAGCTCATGGGTTCATATTCTGCATCAATTTGCGAGCGGTCCTACTTCCACACATTACGGCACTCTTCTTCATGTCTTGCGCTATCATCGTGTCACTTTGACTTAGCTATTATTTTTATCCTCACACTTATCCATTTCTCCTTGGCCTAATGGATGCAGAGTGGATTGACAATGCAGATATGTGCCACTTGCCTACTGGATTCTATCTATATAGTCCTTAGATCCTACCTTATATCTTACGAAGCTAGCGTCGAGATATTGTACCTTGATCTAGCACTAAAAGCAGAATGTCGAGCGATGGCTAGCACAAACTGAGCTATATGGGTGTTACTATACCACCAGATACTCCATTATTCTGTGAACATCAAAGTAATCTCCACGTTGCCACAAATCAAGTGTTTCATGAATGCATAAAGAACATCAAGATCAATTGTCCTCTGGTGCATCAGGGATACGAAGCTCGTCAAATAACTCTCTCATGTTCTTCCAAGTAGAAAGTGACTAATTTCTTCAACGAGGCACAAATTCAGACTTTCACCAAGTTTTTGTGTCCAAACTCTCTATTTTTGACCTACTGTGAGTTTGAGAGGGAGGGGTGTAAAATGTTGTAGTAGATCATGTTAGTATAGCAGTATATATCTACATTGTTTTATTCTGATTTTGAGCCTTCTATATTTGGTCTTCTAATATGTATATAAACCAGGCATGCAACAATAACATTGAACTATTAATGAGAGTTATTTTCTCCTCATTAATCTTCCTGCTCTAACAATGAAAATGATATATATTTAGATCTCAAAACCTTACCCGCATTTCAAGATATAAGTAGAGGGTCATTATACCGTTGATTATTAAAATGGATTACAAGAATAGTACAAAAATGTCGTACATGCAGTATTTTCCTTCAGTGTTTTTAGAAAGATAGCCACTTTGGAGGGATATATATGAAAGGAATTTTTTGCAAAATAAGTGAACTTGCTATATTTCTTACTTCTATTTTAACAGGGCCTTGCGATGCTTACACTATCTGCCATTTTGCCAAGCCTCAGCCAACAATCCCAAGTCATACTAGTATACTTCTCCCTATATCTGGTGGCATTTGCTCAAGGTGGTCATAAGCCTATTCTTGAAGCATTTGGTGCTGACCAGTTCGATGAGAACAATCCACAAGAGCTCATATCGAGGAGTTCTTTCTTCAACTGGTGGTATTTTGGGATGAACATAGGTATTACAGTCACTATTGTGGTCTTGACTTATGTCCAAGATAACATCAGCTGGGGACTGGGGTTTGGAATACCTTGCATTCTCGTGGTGATAGCTCTAGTGGTCTTCTTGATGGGTACAAAATCTTATCGGTACTATCTCTTGGAAGGCGAGTGTCCATTCACGAGAATTTGGAGAGGGTGCACCGTTCTTGTTAAAAGAAATTGCATATCAAGAGAAGAAAGAGAAATTCAACGTCTTCATGGAGCTGATGAGTCCAGGTAAGAGCATTCATTATTTTGTTAGTGGTTTAGTCACCTGGTGCATGTCTTATCCTTTAGTTAAACCATAGTTATTAATGTTTTATCTGAATCCATTCTTAAACTTTAAAATATTATGTTCTGTTATTTCCTCTTTTCTAGCAGTGATGGTAGGACTTCATGCATTAAATATGGTTGTTAGGAAAGTTATATCCTAGATATATTTTTCTTTTATATAAGTTGTCTTATACCATAACTACTTTTCCTTGTATCTAAGAAGGTGTTTGGAACGGCTTATTTTTTGGTCAAACTAGCTTTTAAGCTAGATTTTTTATTTCTACCCATCGGCAAAATACCAAATAAGTTTGCTTGTAAATCACATTTTGAAATGCTGGTACATCCTATCTTTTGATAAACTAACTTATAAGTTAACCTAAATAAGCTTGGTTTGACCAAACAAATTACTATACTATCCAAATAATTTGTATAACATTTTTATCATTAAAGCCAAAAGCCACTAACAGGTAGGATAACCTATAAGCTTCAAAAAATAAGTCTTCCTAGACTACCTCTATATATTGTCAGGTATCTGACCCTAAGCCACAGGTAAAGATCAACCAATTCTTTCATATACTGCTAGACTTCTTATTCTCATGTAAGTTTGAGGATAATCATAGTCCTTGCCACTTTTTATGTTTGATTTCATTACTAATACATAATATGAATTATTGGGAGCAATTTGGAGTTGGTTAACTTCTACGAGATCCAACTCAAATTCTTCAATGTCCTCTATAATTTTTTCATTTGTGTTTTTTTTTTTAGGACATTCATTTGCATAGCGGCCTACTTTGTGGCATATGAAACACTTCCAAGCTCATTTTGAGATGCGGTGTTTTACTGTGAATTTTTTCTTTCCTTGGGTTTCCCCTATTTCCAATTTTTATTTTTTGTTCAGAAAATTTTTGTTTCCTAAACTTATATGGTTTGCGGAATTTCTTTTTATAAGGTTTTCATTTTTTATATGGTTTAAAGTAACCATATTCTAATGAATAACCTTGGATCTTGTTGCAGCAAGATTGCCCAAGGGCGTTATTTCTAACTTCTAAGTTGGCTTTTTGTTTGTTTAAAAGCCTTAGATAGTTGACAATATTGCTCTAGTTCTTTTAGTATAAAAAGCTGAACAACACCACTAGACCTTTCTTCAGGAGAGACATTTTTTATGAATGCTTCTTCTAAAAGAATATCCCATGGCCTAAGTAATTTTTTAAATACATTTTCTATCCACAAATCCACTCGTTGCTTATTTTCAAGACGATAGACTAGCTTAAAATAATCTATTAAAAATTCTTCTACATAATAAATCTGACATAATCTCATTTGTAGGAGTTTTCTTTCTATGTTAGGGTCTAGTTTCTTTAAAGGTTGCCCACAGAGGTCCTTACAAAGTTCATTCATTATTATAGCAAGGGCAGCTTCTGGCGTCATATTTTTTATTTTTTCTTTATTTCCATCTTTTGTAATATCTATTATTTTTACCCAGTAAGCTGCGATGCCATCAAACAAGAATGTAACATATTCTATGAATTGAGGTCTACACCATTCATAAAAATGCATTATCCCTATAATGTGTTGTGTCCACCTATTTATATAGTTGGTTCTTTCTTTAATCGGGATATTGTTTATGTTAAAATAGAGTCCTCCTATACTTACAAGTTTATGGACTGTAGCTTCCTCATACATTTTTTTTATATTTAGTCCTCATATAAGACTGTAAATCTCCTCGTTTATATTGCAAAGAAGCCGGTTTTGACCCAGAACCTGTCAATTCTGGTAGTCCAAACATTTGGTTCCAATTTTCATTTTTGCTAAGTATTTCCATTGGCTAGGTGGAAAATTGGTATCTAATCCAGTTCCTTCCTGTTGAGGAGGTAGGTTCTGTATAGGTTGTTCTGGCTGATTAGTGACGGACGATTCCCCATACTCTATCATAGGTGTATCAGCCATGTTTATGACAAGGATATCATCATATTCACTTATTTCTAATGATGACTCATTTTGCCTATCATCATAATAATAGTTTAATAAAGAACTATGATTGTCTAATAATTGATTTGTTTGCTGTAGGGCAGCAAATTTTGTTTGAGGGTCTTGTACTTGTTGACTTAGGGTTTGTATTTGTTGTATTAATACGACCCTATTTGAGTAACTAAAATCTTCTCGTTGAAGGATATTTGTCAGACCATTTGTTTTTTCATCATCATATTTAAGTTATTCGTCCAATGCCATTTTCGAGGTGGTTTCTCATTATGGGTTGGACTTTTATCTTTTATTTTTAAAGATTATATTTCTTCAATCTGTTTTTTAAGATTTAGAATATTAGTATTCAAATCCTCTAAAGGATATACTATATCAATTACAGCATTTAGCATGAATGCCAAATCCTGGTTAGTTGGAAACTCCTTGGAGTCTTCTAGTAAATAGAGTAAGTGCTTGTAATTCTTCGGTTCAGCTCTTAGCTTATAATTTTCTAAGATTAGTTTTGACATAATTCAAGGATTTCTTCCCCTTTCTCTATCTCTTATTATGTCGTTCACCTTCTACTATATCGGCTTATATTTTACTATACCTATCAAGGGTCTGACCCATTTTCTCCTCGGCTAAACACACACCATCTGAATGTGGCTTTCTCTTCAAACTTAGGACGCGAACCGGCGGCACTCATGCTACAACCAACCACGACCATAATCCTAGCATGTTGCTTTAGAGAGCCTAGTTTCGTTTCCTATCTCTAGGCGTAACTTGATAAGTAAAGAAAATATAAACAGAATAGTAGAAATCAAACTACATAACGTAGGCGGAGATTGGAGGCAAAAATAAATTTAGAACAACATTTTATTAATAAGAAGAAGGCTTACAAGATGTATCATGTATATTACAAGACTCCACACTAGCAGGACTTCGACTTGGATATAGGCTCTGATACCACTCAGGGACTTCACAACTTGGATACAGCTCTGATTAATAATATAAAATCTTTTTCGTAATCTCTCATTAACACGGTATTAGAGCTCCCTACATTAAATTAATCCTAGCCATCCATAATACCCTATTTTTCAATTCTAACCACTGATCATGGCAATATCTATTAAGTAGCCCAGTTGGTATAGTCCTACCCTATGAACTCATGCTAGGCCCAGATATCCCGCATCCCTCTCCCGTTGAGCAACTGTTAAGACCATCGCCAATGGCTGGGAAAACCTATTAGTGACATCTCTGTTAAGAGAGTCTATGAGGCCCTCTCTTCGTCTACAACTACGCCCTCTCCTTGGGGTGACGGCTCCTGGACTTGGATTTGGAGATTGAAAGTCCCTCTTAAAGTCCGCTTCTGGATTTGGAAGTTAGCCCATGAAGGCATCCCCACACGGCAAGCCCTTCCAAACCGACAGATTCTCTCGACCTCAGAGTGTCCACGCTGCCATGATTACAATGAGAACAACCAGCACTTAATCCTCGCCTGCCCAAAATCCTCATCACTGTGGACAATAGTTTGGAGGAAATTGCGCCTCACGATCTCCTGCCGCTCCATGGCGGATTGGTGGAAAATTCTTCATGGGGTAGGAATTGGTTCTGGTCTCGTCAAAGCCTTTCACCAAGCTTGGTTTGCTTACACAGCTTGGCTGTTATGGTTAGATCAGAACAATAGTGTGTTTAACAATCAAATGAGGCCCAGCGAAGCTATTTTTGAATCTTACAACTCTCTCGTCCTGGAGCAATTTGCTTCATGTCCAATTGAAGCCCCGCGGGAAGAATTGTCTCTACTTATAGCCTGAGAATTAAGGCCTACTATCACAACCAGTCGGGCCCCAACCATGGTGACCTGGGAACCACCTAGGGACAATTGGATTAAAATCAACTTTGATGGTGCATGCAAATTGGATTCTTCCAAGGTAGGCGCATGCTTCCTCATCCGCTATGCAGGATCTCCTATATTAGCGGCAACCGCAATTCCAACTGATCTCATTGAGGTAACTACGCAGAACTGATTGGTGCTTGGTCCGCCCTCACTTGGTGCTACAAAAGGTACGGGGCATGCTTAGTCTGGATTGAAGGCGATTCTAAGCATGTCCTTGACCTCCTTAGTAAGGAACCCTTCCACACTGATTCCCCAATTCTGGTCGACTGCTAATCCATCCTTTCTTCGATGGGAGAATACAAGATCTCCCACATATTCAGAGAAGGTAATGCTTCAGCTGATCTTTTGGCCAATATAGGTTGTGGAACGACGTCATCTATTTTTTGGGAGTTTGATTTCCCAGGCACCTTGCTAGCCTCTGTAGAGAGGGACATGAGAGGACCTTTTGTGCGATTGTAACCTTTTGATTTCTATCCTAGCAAGGAAAAAAAACCCACTGATCACGGCTAAAGCCCCAACTCCAACATCCTCTTCACACAGCCGTCAAACCCAACCCCAGTCATTCCCCATCACCAGACCCTCTTCGATCAGATCCACTCTCGATCAGTCCGATCAGAGCCGATTCTTCTCTATTCCTCTTTCCCATCTCCAATCAAATCCAGCCACGACATCGATCTCTGCCACGTTGTTCTCATCTGCCCTCATCGTAGACTTCTGTCGCGTCGACCTTGTTAGCCTCAGCCTCGACGTCAACCTCTCCCACAAACGTCTCCATCCTAATCAGATCCTAGCAGCCCTCGACACTGTCGAGTCCCTATCATTGCTCCAATTTGTCATTGATGCCGCTGCAGTTTGTCATCGACGCCACTGCAATTCCCTATTATTACTATCTCAACAACTTTTTTTTTGCTCCCTCCGTGCTCCGCTGCACTTTGTCATCAACGCCTGCGACTCATGTTTCAGGCATTCTCTAACGATCAACATCACCTTTCAACTCCTCTTTGACACACCTCTCAATCCATCCTCAATATCCTCGAGTTTGACATCCTGAAACTTTTGCAAACTCTACGCCCACCAGGTGTTCAATGAAGTCTCCCAACTAGATCACGCCCTTTCCAATCACACCCTCATTACCTCTCTCCGACAGCCTTGACCAAGGCCACCTCTCAACTTTCCTGCGTGTACTCCGCTGTTCGACTTGATTGTCGATCATGGATAAGAAAGGATTGTCTAATTTCCCTGCGCTTGATGTTCAACTCCAAGGTGTTTGAAAACTATATTGCATGGGCACTCACAATGCAATATAATCTTCGTGCTTTTGAACTATGGAGATATGTTTGGGGCACCATCAAGCGCCCTTCTGAAGTTTCAGTCATGTCCACTATCACCCCTACATCGAAATTGTCTTCAGTCTCCATGATCTCTAACATAGGATAAGGTTATTCGCAATAATGAGCAAATGATGCCTATATCATGTGGTCGGTTTCTATTCCAATCCGCTATATATTGGACGGTCATCGTCATCTCGAGAGCAAAGGCTGGCTGTCAGCCATATGTTTATTCAGTCAGGCCCTACTCAAGGGTATCAGCTATGTCAAGCTCTGAAAGAGGCCAAGCAAGAAGATCTTTCTATTCAAGATTTCTATTCTCTGCTTTCTGGCTATTGGGAGGAGTTGCAGACTATGGAAGTTCTACCATAGATTTCATGGCAGACTTTTCTACAGAGTTTCAGAAGCAACAAGATTGTCAACAGTTATTTCATTTTGCGATGCGATTACGCACTGAGTTTGAGGCACTCCGTGGTATCATTCTTTATTGTCAACCACTTCCTCTTCTCGCAGAAGTAATTGCTGAGTTCACCTCTGAGGAGACTCGTCTTTGGATGTTGTCATCTTCATCTGTACTAGCCCAGTCTGCATCCTCACCCCTATTCTTGCAATTCCTCATCATCATCATTCAGCTAATCATGGACCACCAAATCGTGGAACTGATTAACAATGAAGTTGAAAGAAAATCCTATCAGAGTTAATATGTAGTAGGGATGAGCTCAAAAGACGGGGATGTTGAGAAAATATTAACATTCAAACATCAAGTTTGAACAATATGAGAAGTGAATAAAATCCTGAATCCCTCTTACAAAAGTTGATTCTTCTCATAATACAAAATCTAATCAATAGACCAAAGTTTATCAATTGATATACTTTTGTGACCCTACTAGGATAGAGGCATTTTCCTTTGCTTTGTTGTAATTGTAAATGCAGTAAGATATTAGTCCCAAATTAGTCATTTGTATTTTTGCAGTTTTGATAGAGTGAATATAGTTTCAAACCAAAATCCAATGTTCATTAGTTAAAAAAATTGTTGGCTTTGAACCTCTTGTTACAAGAAATACATTTCCATCAAATCAAATGTTTGTATCTGATAAACGATTGACAATTTGTCATAACATGATGACACTATGTTAAATTTTTTCGATTAAATTTTACTATAAGAATTGCAAGATTTATTATGGACAAATTATCTTGCAATAAATTCTTCTATTTTCACTATAAAATAAATAAAGTTTTATTGGTAAAAGAACTTAATTAATAACTACCTATGAAAAGAAGTTACATCTTCAGGCAAAGGAAATAAGAAAGAAGGATAAGAGTCTCCATAAAAATATGAAAAAAAAATAAACCAAATTGTGCTAAATAATGTGCAACCTCATTTCTCAGCCAGCTAACGTGAGCAGAAACATTAGCTGAAACTGGAACACTCTCTCCAAATCTGCTCCGCAATGTGAGTTTAAGGTGTTAAGCATTCACCAACTTCACAAATTTCTTGAATAACCGCTGAAGCATCTGATTGTATGGTTGCTATCCTGATATTCAGGATTTTTGTAAATTTCACCTATTCTAATATCGCCAAGCATTCCACAATATCAGGCGAGCCTACACCACCTACCACCAATAGTTGCCAACACTGAACCGGCATCATTTCGAATAAAAATGCCAAAAGCATCCGCTCCTGAAACATTGTCTGTAGCCCTATCACTATTAATATTTGCTAAACCCATTGATGGAGAGTCCAATGATCTCTAGACCGAATATGTGTGACGATGAGAGATCTGAATAGCTGCAAAGTCCGCGTCCAAGCCTTTAGCAAAGAGGACCATACTTGACAGTTGGAGAGGTGGCCCCCCCAGTCTTACTCGATTTATAGGGGACCACAACGTCCAAAGAATAGGTGCAAACAATCTGAGTTCCACTTCCTTCAATAACACCATTGCTTGCACTACCCAGTGCGCCAAACTAATGTCTGAAAGGGCTGTAATACTAATCTAAAGCCTCGCTAACTCCCAAACCTCCCGAACACAAAATGAATACACGATTCACACCTTCCGTAATGGCTGAATTACAGAGAAAACATCTCTCTTCCTTACACCCCAATCACATAAACCTAGCTGAGTATGTAAAATATCGTGCATGAATCTCCACAAAAAGATTAAATATTTGCTACTATCATGTTTCTAATCAAATATTATGAATAGAAATTTGGTTACAAAATGTGTGGTTGCAGCTCTATGTCCTGTCAACCAAACAACCCCTTAGTACGGTTCGGAATGCATGTTTTATGTTGACATCATCGAATATAATTGATTAGGGTGACCATTCCTTAAGCAGGATTGAGGAAAATGGTGATGCACAACGAGTAGAAGAAGCGAAGGGTGTGCTGCGACTATTTCCCATATGGGCAACTTGCCTACCTTATGGTATCATCTGCGCCCAATGCAATACTTTCTTTACCAAACAAGGAAGCACGATGGACAGAAGAATCGGTTCAACTTTCAATGTCCCACCAGCAGCACTCCAGAGCCTTTTTTGCGGTGCAATCCTCGCCTTTATCCCAGTTTATGATCGAATCATCCTACCAATATCGCGAAAGTTCTCCAAAACACCATCGGGTCTTACTACTCTTCAGAGGATTGGCATAGGATTCAACTTTTCAATAATGTCGATGGTGGTGGCAGCTCTAGTTGAGATTAAAAGGCTAAAGACTGCACGAGAATTTGCACTTGTTGATCGACCAGATATCACTATACCCATGAGTTTATGGTGGTTGGTTCCTCAATATGTTTTCATTGGCATCTCTGAGGTATTTATTGTGATTGGCCAACAAGAGTTTTTCTATGATCAGGTTCCAGATGCACTGAGAAGCCTTGGGCTTGCTCTCTATCTCAGCATCTATGGCATTGGAAATTTCATTAGTAGTTTTCTTGTGTCTGTGATTGATGGAGTAACTGAGAGTGCAGGTGAGAGTTGGTTCTCTAATAACCTGAACCGTGCACATCTTGACTACTACTATTGGTTTCTGGCTGTTCTCAATGCCCTATCGTTTGTGATCTACATGTATTGTGCTCATGCTTTTGTCTATAAGAAGAAAGATAATGTTGCATTGTAATGCCAATTTTCTGCTGCTGTGCTTGCGTAAGATTTTATGAAAAGTAAAAAGTATTCATGTAGCATAAAAAGAAATATTTGTTTGCTGAGTGCTTGGAATTGCTGGTTGAATCTTGATACAAATTTAACGTGGGACTTGAAGCGCATTAAAGACGAAAAACTTACACTTCATTAGATGTGATGTTTAAGGCACATCAAAGGCCAAAAACTTACATTTCACTGGATGGGATTTTTAGATGAGCTTTTATTCCATGATGGATGTCCTTCAGCTAATCGTAGCTAGCTTGTATTTTTGATGGAGTAGTGATAAAAAAAACTTTATGCTTAAGTTCAGACAGGAGTACTTGTATCTGGATTTTGATGACCTTCACTGAAGTTGCATGTACATAATGCTCTTTGTTGTATATACCATCTATTAGGATCTTGTCCGTATAATAACAAATATGTATTCGTGAATAACTTGTGCTTGAGATTAAATATATATATATTGTGGAATCAAACAGTGTAGGAGTCAGCTCAGAACAATAATTCAGCAAGCAGCCTCATGGATGAGCAGCATACACATCCGAGCATATTGCCCCTCGCTGAGTGGTTTGCCCATTGTTGAACAAATAATAATAATAATAATAATAATACTTTTTTGTGTGCAAATTATCAGAGCATGACCAACGCCAATGTTTAATGGATAGATACCTACAAGTTAAACTAAATAGTCATAGATATTGAACTTGTATACAACGATGTTTTTTTTGATCGATTCATTGAACAATTCTTGCATCAGAAACAAAAGAGAGACAGATGAACAGAACGCAAAATCAATATTGACATAAAAATACGTGAGAAGTCTTCTGATCTGTGGAATATAAATTGCACAAATGGCTCACCAATTGATCAACCAGAATATGCTGGCTCTAAATAAGCAAGGTCGACTTCGACTGGTACTCAAACTTGCCTAACGAATCTATCAAAACGTTCCCTAAAATGGAATCCCTTTTTCAGAAAAGGTTCGCTGGTGTTAACGATAAAATCACTATTGGTGATTTGGCCACAACTTAGCGGAAAAAAGATGAAAGCGTCACGGATTATATTACTCGATGGCGCAATCTCAGCATCAAATGTGAACAAAATCTCGAGCAAAAGAGCAAGCGGTAAGTTTGCTTATGAATAACATAGACAATTGGATAGCACCATTCTTGTGCATAGGGAGTATAAATGCATTCCAGACACTAATTGCTCAAGTCCAAAAATTAGAAAGGACAAACCCTTCAGTACTCTTCAGTTTGCAGCCGAAAAATTTTAGATAGGAGGATGATCCTGAATATTGTCCCTACCATAGATTTATAAGTTACCGGATCAAAGTTTGTTATGTCTTTAATGGTGTGTTTGGGAGTTTACTTAGGGAAGGGAAGGAAGGGGAAAAATTCTCCTTCCTTCCCTTCCCCTCCATTACACCCCAATTTGGGGTGTAAGAATTTGGGCCAAATTTCCCCTCCATTCCCCTCCTTTACCCTCCAAAATGAAACTCCCAAACAAGGTTAAAATGAAATTTCCCTTCCCTTCCCCCTCTCTACCCTCCATCCAAACAGGCTGTAAAGATTGGGTTGAGAAACAGTTGAAGGCGGAAGAGATTATTCTTTCAGAGTCTACTCTTGTAGACCCTCATACTGAAGAAACAAATCTAGAGGAGGCATCCGAAGGTCTTTTCTGGGGGCATGAAGAATCACCAAATGGGGAAATTATTTGTCCAAATCATTCACAAGCACCGTAGGAGATGGCTAAATCCAAGAAAACCAAAAAGATTTTGAAAAGTATTTTCAAGATAATTAAAAATCTTTATAAAAGCTCTCCATTAGTTGAACAAGCTTATGACATGGTGGAATTGTTGGATTTAATCTAATAAATCTATTTGTGGGCACATATGATTAATCAGTGTGTATTGTTATCTTTCAGGATAACCCACTAAAGTGATCAATTAATTTGGGTTAATGTGTATTTAAATAAATCATGGGGTTATATGTACAGATACCAGGTTGTAATTGTGATTTGTTGAGGGGCCAAATTGCAAATTTACAACATCTATAAATAAGGGGTTATGGTCCCTAATCTAGGGTTACATTCTCTAATTCTCTTCACCCCCATCTGAAGAGAAATTCGGCTAGAGAGAAAAACCATAAGGTTAGAAGATCCAAAACCCATCTCAGGTTTCATCTATGGATTCAGGTATAAGCTTCCGCTCTTTTGATTTTTGTTAATCTCTTCGAATTAATCATGGCTTTATGGTTTTAGATCTCAAGTTTTTATTAGATCTATCAAGTGGTATCAGAGCCACATTTGATTAATTCTTAGGGATTTAAGTTTTAAAATTGGGTTTTTTGATCTTAAATCTCTGGTTTTTGGATTAAGATCTGTTCTCGAATGAACAGTAATGTTCGGATGAACAGTAACGGCCGTTGAAAATTTTTGGGGCGAACAGTTTTTTCGGATGAACAGTAACTAAAAAGCGCCGGTGAACAGTAATTTTTTGGAATTTTTTGGGTTTCTTCTTGGTCTGGATCACGAAAATTTTTCCGATTCTGGATCTAGATTTGAAAATAAAATCGATGAATCTTTGGATTTTTTGGATTTAATCTTCGGTCTCATGCTCTTCGCCGACGAAGTTTCGCTTGCGGCCTCGCCCTCGATGGCGGCGGCGTCGTCAGGAAACCCTAGGGTTTCAACCTCTTGGGTGCCGGAGCAATGGCGGCGGCGGTTTTAGTTTGAAACCCTAAGGGTTCATGTGTGAACACATGGCGAAATTTAAGGAGGTGATTACCTCAAATTTTGGCGAGGCTTGAAAGCTTCAAACGAACCTCGCGTTCGTTCTCAATTTTAACGAACCTCGCGTTCGTTCTTAAGGTGAGCCTCGCGCTCAATTTAAACGAACTTCGCGTTCGTTCTCAGGTGAGCCTCGCGCTCAATTTAAACGAACTTCGCGTTCGTTCTCAGGTGAGCCTCGCGCTCAATTCAAGTTGAGCCTCGCGCTCAGTTATCAGGTGAGCCTCGCGCTCAGTTCTTAGGTGAGCCTCGCGCTCAATTCAAGTCGAACTCCGCGTTCATCCTCAGGCAAGCCCTGTGCTCAATCCAAACAAACCTCGCGTTCGTTCTCAACTTGAACCTCGCGTTCATTTTTCAAACGAACCTTGCGTTCGTTCTCAAGTTGAACCCTGTGTTCGGTTTCAGTCGAACCTCGCGTTCAATCTTCAAACGAACCTCGCGTTCGTTCTCAAGTTAAACATCACGTTCATTTTCATACGAACCTCGCGTTCGTGCTTAAGTGAGTCTCGTACTCAATACAGTCGAACCTCGCGTTCGAAGTCAAGCGAACTTCGTGTTCACTATGGTTAAGCCTCGGCTTTTCATGGGTCCACTTTGGTATACTTAATTTATTCAATTAAGTTATGGGCCCTAATTAAGCTGTGAGACCCCAATTAAGTTTTTGGAAATTCAGTTGATTTAAATTTTTTAATTTAAATCTAATTCGGTTTTTAATCAATTATTTAATTCAAATATTATGACACTAAGGTATTAAGGTTGTCTCTCACTCCAATTGATTAATTGAAACAAGAAGTTGCCAAAGTAACCTCTCTTGTGTAGATTGTTCATGAGGAATGTGAGATGTTTGTGTGTATGCTTTCGTGTAAATATTTAATCGGCCCAAAGGAAGGTTAATATTTATTTAGACTGTATACACATCTGCGATGATAAGCGTGTGACAATTATAAGGTTTACATGTGAATAATGAATCGATCCAAAGATAGTTTCATTATTTGACATGAGTTATTGTCAATGTTTGATCATTGCAACAAGGTATCACTTACAAGTTAATATTACTGTCCAAAGACTTGATATTAATGTTGTGCCGGTATCTTGGATGGGGATTGTCATTATTTGAATTTAATAATTATGGTTATTGATGTGAGCAATTTTTGTTTTATTTCAGCTAATGCATCTGCTGCAACAATTTCTGCTAACATCAACTCAATTCCCATGCTAAATGGGACAAACTTCAAGGTTTGGAAAGAGAATATATTAATTGTTCTTGGCTGCATGGATCTAGACCTTGCATTAACAATTGAACAACCCCAACCTCTCAATGCGGATAGAACTCCTGATACAAAGAAGGAATATGAGAAGTGGGAGCGTTCAAATCGCATGAGTCTTATGATCATTAAGCGCGGTGTTCCGGAAGCCTTCAGGGGCATAGAATCCGAAGGGATTACTAAGGCTAAAGATTTCCTTGCCAAAATTGAGAAGCGTTTTGCGAAAAATGATAAGGTAGAAATAAACACGCTCTTAGCTCACTTGATTTCAATGAAGTATAAGGGCAAAGGAAATATCAGGGAGTACATTATGGAAATGTCTCATATTTCTTCAAAGCTTAAGGCACTTAAACTCGATCTTTGTGACGAGTTATTAGTGCATCTGGTTTTGTTGTCTCTTCCTGCACAGTTTAACCAATTTAAGGTCAGTTATAACTGTCAAAAGGAGAAATGGACTCTAAATGAGCTCATTTCATACTGTGTGCAAGAAGAAGACAGGTTGAAGCAAGATAAGACAGAAAGTGCTCATTTGGCCTATGCCTCTAAGGATAAGGGCAAGAAAAGGAAGAATGATAAGGAAGCTGCTAAGGGTCCAGTTGAGAAGAAACAACATAAGGATAATCAGGGTTGTTTCTTCTGTAAGAAGCCTGGACATGTAAAGAAGGACTGTACAAAATATCACGCCTGGCGTGATAATAAGGGTACGTTCCTTGCTTTGGTCTGTTCTGAGGTTAATTTAGCTTCAGTACCTAGAAACACTTGGTGGTTAGACTCTGGTGCTACTACTCACATAAGTGTTTCTATGCAGGGTTGCCAGAGCTACCGAAAGCCAAGTGATGTTGAAAGACTCATCTTTGTGGGCGACGGACAATCGGTAGATGTGGAAGCAATTGGGCACTTTAGGTTGTTGTTAGGAACTGGTTCTTATTTGGACTTGAAAGATACTTTTGTAGTACCGTCTTTTAGACGGAATTTAATTTTTGTTTCTGTATTAGACAAATCAGATTATTTTTGTTCATTTGGAAACAGTCAATTCAGTTTATCTTTTAATTCAAATGTTGTGGGAACTGGT